CACCAGAGAGAGAGATTGGGAAAGTGAGAAAACAAGCTGCCAGGTCTGGGACTTGAACTGCAGTTGGCTATGTGGGAGTTCAGAGCCTTAACCACCATGCCACCTGCTGACCCCGTATATATATATTAAATGATAATGAGGGGGTGAGGAGGAAAAGAAAGGGAGAGAGATAAATTATTACTATTTTTTTTTATAGGATCTTGCCTTATTGTAATATCCCACTTCAGCCTCCCAGTTAGCTAGGATCACTTGGCCTGTACTGCAGTGCCAGGCCTGGGCCTCCCATGTGGTCTCAATACACACACACACACACACACACACACACACACATGAAATATGAAATATATGTACATATATGCCATTGGCAGTGCAGTGGATTTGTTTCCACCAGCTTCACCGTAGATACGTAATTGTGTTTCAATGTTATGGTGGACTGTCTTGACCAAAGTGTTGTTATGCAATGCATGAACACACACATACAGATAGACCTATGGTTTACACACAATTGTTCAAATATATATACTTATACATACATACACAAGATATGAAAATATTTTGCAGAAACACTGAATGGAATGGCGTGGTGGTTGAGGTGCTGGACACACCCACATGGCTGACTGTGGTTTGAGTCCCGGACCTGGTGGCTTGCTTTCTCACTTTCCCTCTCTCTCTCTCTGGTCAAATTAAAATAAATAAATGAATAAAATGAAATGAAATAATTTTAAAAAAGGAATAGGGAAAAAGTAGAAACAGCTTAAATTACCCTGCGGGGGAATTAATAGTAGAGCATCTACATGACATTGTGTATCTGTTAACAGTGAAGTAGACTGACATGTCATGACATGGAAAGGTATCTAAAACAGACTGTTAAGTGAAAGCAAAATGCAAGGTGTAGAACTAGTATGTTTATGATCCCATTTTTGCTTTTAAAGAAGTATATTTCTGTTTAGCGAAAAATTAAAAAGTTAAAGTAATACAGTTAGGTTCACTTGATTATTATAGTACTCTGAAAATCACAGAGGATTCAAATCAGGTCAGGAAACGTTTATTTTTAACTTTATACATTTCTCTGTATTATGGATTGTTACTACAACCAATATGTGTTACTCTAATAATAAAAGTAATTAAACAGGGTCAGTCAAATGGCATGGTGGTTAAGGTGCTAGATCCCACATGGATAGCTGCATGGTTTGAGTCTCAGACCTGGTGACTTGAAAAACACGTCGAGTGCATGTGTGTGCGTGTCCAAAATCCTGAGAGGAGAATGGAGAAGGAATTGTGAGTGGCCATCCTCCCTGCGGTGTGATTTCTCACTTTCCACCTCTCTTAGGCAAGCACACACATCCTGTAGCAAAAACCAAAAACCAAGCAAGCAAAAGAAATTGGAAGGATATCATTTTTACAACAAAAGTATTAACGATAAATCAGAAAATTAGTAAAAGTACAAAAAAGAAAAGAAACCTTCTTAAGTCCCATTTTTCTAGACTTCATGACTGACTCTAATATATTTTCTTCCAGGTTTGTTTGTAGAGGTTTTCATTGTCATTTCCTTTTATACGTGGGACTTCGAAAAGTGTGTGGAAAAATAAAGTTTGAGTTTATTTGGGTGCAAAATGTTTTTAAATCCATGCATAGTTTTTCATAATATGCATTTTCCATATGAACTTTTTTGAAGAGTTCTGCTTCAGTGATCCCAGGTATAAATATGACCATTTTCTCACTAAACATTACCATCAGTATTTTTCTTATTTTTTATTAGAACATTCTCTGGCGTAGATTTTCCAGTTTACTAATCCCCAACGCGGCAGGCATTTGGGGATTTCTCAGATCCTTGCTATTATGACACACGTTGCTACAAAGCAGCATATTTGGGGTCAACCTTGTGCTGTATTTACGTTTTGTCCTTTGATAGTGTCAGAGAGGTGCGAATGCGAGGTCGAGGACATCTGACTAGATTGTTTTCCAGAAGAGTTCTTTATATTTTTCTCTTCCCATTGACATGGCTCATTTCACCCCAGCTCCCCAGTACTGGGGACAATCATTTTAAAAAGCCATTTCTGAAATAATCGGCACATTTAGGCGCAGCACATACGGGCATTCCCCATACTGTTCTTGCAACTATTCTGCAAGTTTTGCATTTTTTACAATAAAAAGGTTAACATGGCCTTGACTTAAGGAGGCAGGGTTTTGACTCAGATTTTGCACCCCTTCTATTTTCATGTCCTCCTTCCTAACATCCCTCTTAAACTGTGGCTCTTCTGTTACTAGAATCCAGGAGCCTTTTCCCAGATGGTCTTCTACCAGTTCTATTTTCTCTTTCATGTTTTTATGTGCTTCATTTATTAGGGTCATAACATTTTATTGTTAACGGTTTCCATGAGATTGTCATGTGATGAAAACATTAGACTGTTACAGTTGCTACAACCCTTTAGTTGTTTTGTTTTGTGTTGCCAGAAGCGTGTGTGCTCCGCAGAGAGAGAGACAGAGGGAAAGGGAGAAAGTAGCCCTAGTGGGGTGGTCACTGCAATCTCCTCTCTTCCATTTCTTTATTCTGTTGGGATTTGGGGCATGTATGCACATATGCCTGGCACATTTTTCAAGTCACCGGGGCCAGATTGAACTGCAGCGAGGAGAGCCATGTGGGATCTAACTCTCTCTCTCTCTTTTTTAACTAAAAGTTAAGTGTGTGTATGTGTGTATATATATATATACATGAATTACTTATTAAATTTTATTTATTCATTCATTTATTTTATTTTGACCAGAGAGAGACACATACAGAGAGAGAGAGAGAGGGAGGGAAAGTGAGAAAGCAAGCCACCAGGTCCAGGATTAGAACTGTGGTTGGCCATGTGGGAGTATCCAGCACCTTAATCACCATGCTACCTGCTGGCTCCCAGGATCTGACTCCCTTAACCACCAAGCCATAGCACTGACCCTAGGGCCTGTTTACTTTTGATTTTCATCTTGACATCTGATTATTTTTAGTTTCACATACTTGCCTCCTTAGTTGACTCCATCATTGTCCATTGATTTTTTTAAAAGAATTATTTATTTAATTTTATTTATTCATTCATTTATTTTCTTAAACTGGATCCTTGAAAAAGATACAGAGAGAGAGAGAAAGTGAGAAAGCAAGCCACCAGGTCTAGAACTTGAACCATGTTTGGCCATGTGGGAGTGTCCAATGCCATAACCACCATGCTACCTGCTGGCTCCCCCATCCATTGATTTTTTTCTATAGATTCTAAGCTAAGAAAATTCTTTCCCCCTAAAGATTTCACGACGAATCGGCACTGTTTCTCTGAAGATCGAGTTTGATTAATGGTTTACTCTTTGCTTCCTAACTGGTCCAACAGGCCCTGAGTGTAGATCGGTGTGAAGTGGGGAGGCTCCCACCAATGATCTCGGGAGGCTGAGCTGGGGGGTGTGGATCGTGGTGTGAAAGACCTTGTTGTGGGTGTCTATCTCTCTGTCTCTCCCTCTGTGTGTGTCACAGGAGAAATAAACAACAGCAACAAAACGCTCAGACAACATAAAAAAAAGAAAAAGTCTTCCAAAAGCTCTAAAGAAGACATTCTAGGGAAAAGATGTTGGAGAGGATACCCACCGTCTCCAAAGAGGCTGAGACCCTGCGCCCTGATCCATAAGCCATAGTCAGGGAGAAACATGCGCTGGAGGGGACTTAGACATGGGGAGGGTGAGTGACCAAGGGCCTCTACTTCCCCATCCAAGAAATGTCCCAAATTAATCCTGGGGAAAGTTACGCCTGGTGGTCATTTCATAAAGTCTGGGGTACCCATTCTGCTTCACTGCTGGGGAGAGGGTGCTGAAGAAGAGCTATTCTGAGTGGTTGTCCGTTCACCTCTCTGAGCCACCAGTTTCTTCTGAGATGGGAGCAGTTCAGGGGACAAATGAGATGACGTGTGTGGGCGTGCTCTGTAAGCTGCTGAGTGTCACAGATGGCCCTGAAAGTGCCGAAGGAGAGATAGCGAAGGCAGACTCTCAGGATGGGAGATTCCAAGGCTACCTGACCCTACCCCAAAGCGGATCCCTTCTCCAATATTCCTTCAATCCACCCAGCCTGAGTCCCTCTAGTGACAGGGAGCTCGGTATGCCCTTAGACGGCTGTTCAATATTTGGCCCCTCTAACTTACTAGAAATTTTTCTCTCCTTGGAAGTCGAAACATCATAATACAATAATATTAGCTATGTCAGGCAAGATAAGAGGCACTTTTTTATATAGCAGTTGACTAGATTTTTCAAATCATCCTGTAAGGTCAAAATACTATGATGTACCCCCTTTAACAGGTGGAGAAACAGGCTCAGAGAGGTTAAGTGGTCTGGTTAGGGGACCACAGCCAGCTAAGACACAGACAGGATTTGAACTTTGGCCTGTCTGACTCCAAAGCCCACACATGTGACCTTGGAGCTAGCAATCCCCAAGCAGCATCTCACTGTGGTCCCTGGGGGCTTCATGGAGCAGGGCTGGTCCTTCTTGTCTACACTGGCCCTTAACTACCACCCTCTGCCAGATGTCCATCTCACCAATGTCGCTGTGCAAAAGACGTCCCCCGACTACCACCCAAAGAAGGTGAGGACGCGGACTTCTGCTCTCCACCTACAGCCTTCTGGGTCTGGGCGGGTGCAAAGGGTAGAGCAGCGAGGGGCCCAGGACAGCTTGTTTGGGGCTCATGATTCACCCAGGAGGGAAGGCCCACCCCTCCCATTTGTGAGTACAACAGAGCCCCATGAATCATGCATCTGAACAGGTAAAAGTTACACAGCACTAACACAGGCCCAACGAAGTGTGTTCTGTTTTCTTACTTCTATCTTTATTTATTCACCTATTTACAGTATATCTGTATCAAGCATGCAGTCTATCATACAAATATGCCTTGTATCCATCTATCAATTAATCAATATATAGTATATCAGTATCAATCCATCTATCATATGGATAAACTTTATAACTACCTACTTATCTGATCTGCATAATAACCTGCAAGTCTAGGTTTAAACATAGAATTCTCAGACTTCTCAGAATGAGGGTCATATCAGGGAGCCTAGGAGAGTGGGCCCCTGCTCGCACCCATTCTCCCCGGTCCCCTGTGCATACCCTGCCCTTGTGCACGCCTTCCGCACCCCACACACAGCAGCCTCTGCTCACTCCTTTCCTGGGATACACATGGTTGGTGCAGCCTGTCCTTGGGAAGGGGGCCCAGGGAAGAAGCCCACACAGGCCATGTGAGCAGGACTTCTGGGGTATCCTGTGCCTTGGACATACAGAATCTTCACCCCACAAGGAGGGGCATACCCTGAGGTGTCCTAAGCCCAGGGCTCAGGAGGTAGACCCCATTTGCTGGGCCTCTGGACAGTGCTGAAAGGATGGTTTGAGGGTCCTGGGAGGCTGGGTTCTGCTTAACTGAGTCCTCCTCTCCAACCCGGCTGCCCGGGCCTCCAGGGCTGCAAGTGGATGCTCCAGCGCTTCCGGCAGTACCTGGCATCCAAGCATGGGCCCGAGGCAGTGGAGATGCTCTTCAGTGACATGGACAACATCTTCATCAAGAGCCTGCAGAGCGTGCAGAAGGTGATCATCAGCGACAAGCACTGCTTCGAGCTGTACGGCTACGACATCCTCATCGACCAGGACCTCAAGCCGTGAGTGCTGGGCCAGTGGCCTGGAGAGCCAGTGGCCTGGAGAGGGGTGTATTTAGCATACTCTGCACCCAGACTTCCCAGGCCTGAATCCCAGCTCTGTCACTTCCTAGTTGTGCAAGCTTGGCACTTCTTTTCCTGTGCAAAGGTAGCTCATTTGTGAAATGGGGTGACCAGCCCAAGGCCCTGGGGCTTTGGGCTGCTTTCAGCCCATAGGTACTTTAAGTTTGGCCTTCAGAATGTTTTAGCTTTTCACTTAAGTTGAGTAGGGGCCTGCAGGTGGTATACAGGTTAAGGCAGCTTCCACATGGCCGACTGCACAGTCTGAGTCCCGGACCTGGCAGCTTGAAAACCACGCTGGGTGCATGTGCATGTGTGGCCAAGTCCTGAGAGGAGAAGGGATTGTGGTGGGACCATTTTCTGTGGGTGTGGAGGTGATTTCTCACTTCCCCCTCCCTCTCTGTCTCTCTCTAGCATGTGCATGCACCCTATAGAAAATTTTAAAATGAATAAGTAAATTTATTGATGATCTCTAAAATGTCGGAGATGTTTACAGAAAAAATAGGAGTTTGGGCTTTTCTGGAAAAATCAAAATCTCCACTCTCATGGAGCTGGCAGCTGCCACACCTTCAGGCTCGGAAGGCCCTTTCCAGTTCACCACAGTCTCCACCCTCCCTGCTGTCTTCCCAGCCCCTGACACAGATCAGTTGCCATCTATAGGCAAACTTTCACTAGTAAGGGAATTTTTTTCTTGCACTCACTTCTCTACTAGGAGAAGAAAAAACAATAAACAGCCAAAAGCACCATAAGCATTCTCACACCTACCCGCTTCCCTCATTTAAGTGACTTTTTTCAAAGTGGGAAGGTGGGTGGGGTAGCCCTGCTTGGGTTGAGGTTGGGACCCATGAACCCCATCTGGCCTCTCTCAGTCAGAGGCTCCAGGGGCCAAGGAACCTCAAGACTGGCCACTCTCCTTCCTCCCCAGGTGGCTCTTGGAGGTCAATGCATCCCCTTCACTGACGGCCAGCAGTCAGGAGGACTATGAGCTCAAGACCTGCCTCCTGGAGGACACCCTGCACGTCGTGGACATGGAAGGGAGGTGGGGAGGGGGCAGCCTTGACCATGGCAGCTAGGGTTCCCACCAAGGAAGGGAGAACTCACACCTGGGGACTTGAGTGGCCCTGGAGAGCTTGCGGGCTGTCCCCATTTATGGACAGAGACTGCAATGTCCTGAGGACTTGGTCCCTTTGGGCCGAGCAGGTCCTCCAACAGCTCTCTGAGACTCGGTGCAGCAAGACTTCCTCACAGTGCTCTGACTGGGGGGCCCTGCACCGACTTCACCTGAGCCTCGGTTTCCTCCCCTCTAAGATGGGAAGCACTGTCTCTCTCGGGATTGTCAGGTTACTTTGTGAAGACAGTTTATTGTAAAGTGCCTAGCTCACAGTAGGTGCTCAGCCAGAGGCTATTATTATTATTGTTATACTTTTTTTGGGGGAAGGGGTTTGCTATAGGGTGCATGTGCATGCCAGAAAGAGAGAGACAGAGACAGAAAGCGAGAAATCACCCCCCATGCCACAATCCCTTCTCCTCCATTCTCCTTTTGGATCTTGGGCATGCACACACGTGCCCAGCATGAGTTTAAGCCACTGGGTCCAGGACTCGAACCGCAGTTGACCATATGGGAGTCCAGTGACATAGCCATTATGCCAACTGCTGGTCCCTATTATTGTTATACTTTTAAATAATTATTTAATTTTACTTATTATTTTTTAAACTTGCTATAGGGCTCATACACTCACGAGAGAGAGAGAAGGAAAGTAAGAAAGCAAACTGCCACGTCTGGGACTTCAACCGTCGTCAGCCATGTGGGAGTCCCATGCCTTAACCACCATGCCACCTGCTGACCCCAAGGCTATTTATTATTATAACAATGTGTAGATAATGGAAAAACCCAGGGTCTGGTTTCAGGTGTGGGTGAATCCAAGTGAGTAAATCCAAGTTTGTTGGTTCTCTCTCTCTCTCTCTCTCCCTCTCCCTCTCCCCCCTCTTTCCTCTGCATTAGCTTTTCCTCAATTATTCCAGCAAAAGCTTGAGAGTTAATTCCCATTTCTGGGGATTGGGTCACAGGCCCATCCCTGAACCAACCACTGTGGCTGTGATTGGCCAGGCTGAACTCTTTTTCTTTTTTTTTTTTTTTTTTTTTTTTTTTGAGAGTTTTTTGCTATAGGGCGCGTGCGCTCGCCAGACAGACAGAGACAGACAGAGAGACCGAAAGAGAGAAATCATCCCCTAGAGGGGATGGCTATGCTGCAATCCCTTCTTCTCCATTCTCCTCTTGTGATCTTGGGCACGCACGCATACGCGCCTGGTGTGAGTTTAAGCCACCAGGTCCGGGACTCGAACCGCGGCTGACTACGTGGGAGTCCAGCAACATAGCCATTACGCTAACTGCTGGTCCCTGCCAGGCTGAACTCTTGTGCCCACCTCCCTTACTGTGAGGTCACTCCATCTGAGTCATGTGGATAAGGTAGGAAGGAGTGGTTCTCCAAGGACAAAATGAAGTAAACTGGGACCAGCAGATGGTGTAATGGTTACGTCAGTAGACTCCCATGTAGTCGACTACAGTTCGAGTCCCAGACCCAGCGACTTAAAACTCATGCCAGGTACGTGTGCGTACATGTCCAAGATTCTGAGAGGAGAATGAAGGAGAAGAGATTACAGCATGGCCATCTGGGGGGGGGGTGCCAGACCCCATACCATACACTGAGAATACAGCAAAAAAAAATCACAACAGACCTGGTCCCTGCCTTTGCAGAGAGGAAAGCAGACTTTAAGCCAGAAATGACAAATAGGTGCGTGTCACCGAGGACGAGGATGGAGGCTTGGGGAAACAAATCGGAAGGCCACCCCTCTGAGGCCTACATGGGCTCCTAGGCCAAAGAAGGAATTCTGGCAGGGTGGGCACCAGCAGGCAGGTTTAGGGAAGGGATCAGGGATTTGGTTTGGGTCTTAGGATACTACCCATGGCACCTTCCTTAACCCTGTGCGTCTTCTGCCTGTTCAGGCTCACGGGAAGGGAGAAGCGAGTTGGCGGCTTTGACCTCATGTGGAATGACGGTCCTGTCAGCCGAGAGGAGGGGGCGCCTGACCTATCGGGAATGGGAAACTTTGTGACCAACACGCACCTTGGTATGTAGGGCCATGTGGGCGTGGCTCCAGGGATGCATCGTGGGAGGTTCCAGGTGGTCTGGAGGACAGTGTGGCATAGCGCTTAAAGGGTCTGAATTCCACCTGCAACCAACCAGCTGTGTGACTCTGGGCAAGGGACTTAACCTTTCTGTTCCTCATTTGAAGAATAGAGATGAGTTTGTATCTCAAAAACTGCCTGGCACACAGTGAGAGGTGATTAACTGTCAGGTGGGTTTCAGAGACTTTGGTGGAAAACAAACCAACAAAATACATTTGTTAAGAGAATTAAAGACCCTGGGGTTTGATTTTAAACTTGGTTTCTAAAATGAACATTTCCCCTGATTATAAACATTATTCACTCCCTGTAGAATATTTGAAAACTAAGGAAGGAGGAGAATCCAGACATAACCATCTTTACCAGTCTGGTGTATTTCTTTTTCAAAAATGTATATATTCATACTTTTTCTTTTACAAAACTGGCATTGGGTTGGAGTTTCAGGTCCCACTTTTCCAGGTGGTATTTTTTACATAAGAATATTAAAAAGAGCTGACTCTAAAATGTGGCAGGAACACACTGCTCAAGGGAAGCTGGATCCCACATGGCAACTGTGGTCTGAGGTCCTGACTCTGCTGGCCTCAGACAGGCGTGTCTCAGACACATGCCTGAGTGCCAAGATCCGATGGGCCGGAGTATTGGGCGAAGGGGATTGTGATGTGACCAAACCCTGTGGAGGGGGCTCCCTTTTCTCTCTCATGTGCACACATATGCGCTGTGTCATGAAGAAAGAAAAATTTATTTATTTTATTTATTATTTTTTTTTAGGTTTTTGCCATAGGGTACATGTGCTCACTGGAGAGAGACAGGGAGAGGGAAAGTGAGAAAGCAACCCCCACGGGGGATGGCCATGCAACAATCCCTTCTCTTCCATTCTCTTCTTGGGACTTTGGGCATACATGCATATGTGCCCAGCATGAGTTTCAAACTACCAGATCCGGGACTTGAACAGTGGTTAGCTATGTGGGAGTCCAGTGCCTTAACCACCATACCACCTGCTGGCCCCAAGAAAAATATCTTTAAATATGCCAAGAGGTATATTGTGGGTTTTTTTTTTTTTTTTAAGAATATTTATAAGAGTTTCCTATTTGGAAGCACTTTATGGCCAGATCTAGACTGTTTTACATAATCTCACTTCATCTGTAGGCAGCTTCTATTGCTATCTTCCAGATGGGGAGGTGGTCTCGACGTTACACAACTTACTAAAGGACTTGGCCATGGTGGTGAGCCAGAACTTGAACTCTACTCTGTCTGACTGTAAAACCTGAGTGCTTGGCCCCTGGGCTCTCCTGTCCCTTAGCAGAGTTAAAAACAAAATCATTGCATGGTTGTAAAACCGTCCAGCTCGTGCATGTGCCAAAATTTGCTAAGCCAATTTCTTATAATTGGGCATTTGGCACAATTCCAAATTTTTACTTTTGTAAATAATACTGTGATAAACATTCTTTCACAGAAAGCTCAACGAAGATTTTGGCTATTTCCTTAGGATAGATTCCTAGAAGTAAAATTACTGAGTCAAAGGGAATGAGCTGATTATAACCAAAGTACTTCCCAGAAAAATTACATGAGGTTGAGCCAGCAGGTGGTGTGGTGGTTAAGGCACTGGAATTTCCACATGGCCAACCACGGTTTGAATCCTGGACTTGGAGGCTTGCTTTCTTTCTCTCTCTGGCAAAATTCATGTGAAAAGTAAATGAATAAATTAATTAAATAATTCTTTTTTTTTTTTTTTTTTTTTTGGGGAGGGTTTTTGCTTAA